CGGCGGTGGAGGGGCCCAGGACCGTGCGGGGATTCCTGGGGGGGTCCCTCTCGGTGAACTGCACATACGGGGTCGGCCAGGAGATGAAGCCAAAATTTTGGTGCGAACCGGCGACAATAGTTTATACGTGTGCTGATGACAAGGTCATCACCTCGGAGCAGGAGCCCGTGGTGTGGAGGGGCCGATTCTCCATCCAGGACAATCGTGCACGGCGGGTGTTCCCGGTGACCGTGCAGGATCTGGCTGTGGGGCAGCTACCGCTGCGGGGTGCGAACGGCTTTTGGCCAGCGTGATGAGAGTCACGACGTGGAGGTGATCCTGTCCGCAGGTCGGTACTTGTGGGTCCCCCAGGTCCAGCGTTGGTGTATCCTCCCCCCAAGTGCTGGGAGCAGGGGCTGCAGTGAGGGGCAGCCTGGAGGAGGTGGGTGCCCAGGCGGCATGGGGCAGCCCCAGGATCTGTCATCAGGGCTCGGCAGGCTGTCACCATGGCAGGTGCCACCATCACCCATTCCCCATGCCCAGGTCTCACCACGGCCCCTTCTCGGTGCCCCACTGTCAGTCACCACCATCGCTGAGGTGCACCACCCTGTTGTCCATGCCCCATTTTCCCCTCTCATCAGATCCTGCTGGCCCTGTCTGTGCTCTCCTTGCCTTATTTTATAATGCCAGGGAGTTTCTCACCCCCCCGTGCCACCCCGTTTCCTGCTGTGGGGCAGCCAGTGCCCGTGGGCACCAGGCCCTGGGCTCAGAGAAGGTCCTTCTCCATCCCCTCACCAGGGACCAGCCCCCGTGGTGGGACACTTACATGGGGCTGTTGTGTTAGTACCGGGCTGGGCTGGCGTGCCCAGACCCCCTTCCTGCAGGGTGAACTCTGCTGCCTCTGTGTTTTGGGGGCACTGGGATGGTAAAAAGCCTCCTGGGCAGGGGCAGGAGATTACAGCCCTTCCACCTTGGGGAGCATGCTCTGGATGTGGCAGAGGGGACCCAGCTTCTCCCTGTGTGACAGTAAGTGAGTCACTTCTGACTCACTGCAAAACCCGCAGCATTTCTCCCCATGGAGGCAGGGAGACTGACCAAGCCTCTCCTCTTTTTGTTACAGCACCTCCTTCCTCCTCCCCAGCATCGCCCTACACCCCAACCATCGAAGACCCTGATCTCACTAGCACTGTATCAGATCCCACACAGAAAACTCCCCGGTGGGAACCTGTGCAACCGGGATCAAATCTCTCCCACCACAAAGACTCCAGCCCTCCACGGTGAGTACCAGCTCCTGCCCGCAGCGGCCACTTCCCTCCATGAGGTCTCTTCGGTGCAGCTGGAGCCCTGCAACCCTCCAGGCTCTTCACACCTTCCTTAAGGATTCAGATCTCCTGCTTTTGCCTTTAGAGACCAGCATTTCATCCTCTCAGCCAGCCACTCTGCAAGGAAAATAATCCCAGTGTCCCTGGTTGCCTGGCCCTGGCAAAGCCCTGCTAGTCCCCTGTCTGTCTTGCATCTTAAGCAAGGCGCAGGTTATCACCACGCGAGAAGTGGTTTCTAGCTGCAGCACTGACCCTGTTTCCTTCCCCAAAACTCAGAGGGACCGTTTGTTTGTGGGCAATCAAGTGCTGAGCTGCGTCCTCTTCTGCTTTGTACTCACATGCAGCCTGGCAGAGGTAGTTGACAAAGCATGAGACCGGAGCAGCAGAGCTTCCTCCCCCCCTCTCCTGCCTCATGGAGGTGATGCAAGAAGTGGGCAAAGCTGAGGCTTCCCATCAGCACGCCCAAGGGGTAGCTGGCACACTGACCTTGCCTGGTTGCCTATTGCAACAAGGTCAACAAATAGTAGAGCTAAACCAGAGCAGAATTAGGCGCAGGAACTGATCCTTAAAAGAGTGACGATGCAGCAGCTCATAGACCCAAGTGTCTGTTTGCTTCTGCAGTTTTCTGTTTGCTTTGCTCCATGCCCAGCTTGCAGCCTGACCCCCCCCACCTGCCTGCCTTCCTCCCAAGGCAAGCTCTGCGGGGAACCTGCCTGCTCTGTGCTGGTTCCTCCCGAGTCTGCTTCCGAGGAGAAGCGTGAGAACAGAAACTCTTTTTTTCTTGCAGCTTGGATGTGGTTGAGCACATCCTCACTCCAGGCATCGTAGTCGTTCTTCTTTTGCTTGCAGTTGCTGCTGGCGTTTTGGTAAAACTGTCCAGGAAGAGGAAGCAGGGTAAGCGAAGCTGTCACTGCCACGCACACGCTGTTTCTGCACCACAGCCCATCTTCTGCTATATTTGTTTTTTCCTCTAGATTTCTTTTTTCTCCCCCATTCCCTTTCTGATCCATCCAATTCCTGGGTCCACCACTGAGACCTCCACCAAGGAGGTCTCCTTCCCCCAGGAAAGCAGTGGGACCATCCCACAGGTCCCATCCCCACGGGAGTGGGGAATGGCAGCTCTTGGGATGGGTGCTGCCCGGCACGGCACCCGCTTGAGTTTGGGCACTTCTCCAGCTTCTCCAGATGTGCTCCGTTCATAGGCCAGGCTTGCACTAGGCTTGATGCAAAGTTTAAGGCCAGTGTGAAAGACGGGGAGGGATGGGAGGGGACATCCTAGTGAGTGGGGTCTGGTTTTATTTGAAGAACTGCTTCAGTTTAGATGGTTGATGGGACGATAGGTTTCCTTCCTGCTTTACAGAGAGATTTGCAGTGGCAGCGCAGTTTTTTAATACGTTTCTTTTCCTCTGGTCTCACTCGTGTCTAACCACATCCGTGCTCCATCCAGCCCTCTCTGGAGCAGCTGTAGAGATGGACAGGACCCGCAGCGCATCGCCCACAGTAAGGCAAACCGCACCAGGTCTTGGGATGGCGTGCTCTGAGCTCGCCTGGAGAGGGGAAACGTTACACCCTGAGCTGAGCAAGTGAGCTGCCAGAGCCGTTTGCTTTCAGCCAGGTTCATGGCCCTTTCGGCTGGGAGGGATCCTTCAGGCTCCATTTGCCAACAGAAAGACCCGACCAGGGATTTTATGTGACTATCGCAGAGTATTCCTGGGAAGGGAATTGAGGACTGAGCTGAGAGGTTTCTCCCTCCAAGCATGGGAGCTGCTTCTTTGGGTGAAACAGCCTTGGGAACCCGCAGCAAAGCACACCTGGGAGGCTGCGGGGCAGCTGATCTTCGGTCACTGCTTGGGAAGTATTTTCTAATGTTTTCTGCCAGCTTTTGAGGGGTGGCCGGTGTCACTAACCAGTTTTCCCCTGGGGAATGTCGAACCAGCCCTTGCTGCAGGTTGAATTCCCCCCCCACAGTGCTCCTGAAGCCATCTCAGCTCTCTCCAGGAAAGGCAGCGGGACGGGAGATGCTCCCACCCCGCGGGCTGCAGGCAGGGGAGCAGCAGTAGGTTAAGAGCTCATCCCTCTCCTTCCTGGGTCAGGGACCAGATGCCTTGAACTACGCGGACATTAACCACCGCACGGGCACAGCCGAGACCCAGTTGTACAGCAATGCCGAGGCTTTCCGCTGCTTGGCAAACACCACGACGGAATACACGGAGGTCAAGCGGAGCAATAAGGTAGGAGAATGCAAAGCAGTGCCGAGCTCGAGGTGGCGGGTGGAAAGCTGGGGTGGGTGGGCGACGCCGTGGGCAGTGGGATGGGTTGGGTGGGTTAGGAGGGAGCTGCAAAGGGACATGCCAAGCTGGGGTGCAAATAACCCTGGATAATGTGGGTGCTCTCTCCAAGGCTGCTCCTGAGTGCTTAAAGCAGCCAAGAGAGGTCCCAGCAGATGGTGTTGCCCTGGAGCGACCTCACAAAGATTT